AAATTTTTCTCAGCGATGACATAACGCAAATATATTTATTCGATTTGTGACCAAAAAAACGACGAAATAGACATAAAAACAACGATATATCTATAGCTAGTAAATATACCAAACTATAATCGAAAAAAATAAAAACACGATGCTAATATATACAAGGCATGGATACAGAAAAAAACAATGTTCAAATGAATACAATATCAACTGAATACATAAAAAACAAGAAAATTACATATAGAAAATTAGACACAAATAATAAAAGTTTTCTTACAATGCAGAAAACTTATTGGAACCACTGAGAAAAACGCGTTTGCGTATCTAAATACAATTTATCGAGTCTTTCTATTTCGGCGACTTGTGATTTGCTCGGTTTAACAAGCAAAATCTTGTAATCGAAGTGCCATAAAATAATAAGATCAACCAAACGTTTCACACGCGACAATGGTACATAGACTGCAGCAATATTGTCGGTGTCATTCGGTAGTTTTAGATCAATCACGACCTTATTCAAAGTTTGGCCTTGACTCTTATGTGTCGTGATATAATAAGCAGGCACAAGGGGGAGTGCACGCCGTTTAATTGATAAAATTGCTTTTCGATTGGATTTTGGCTTTTTATCTTTCGGCAAAAGGTCGGTAATATCAATGCGAAATGTTTGTTCCATTAGCGGTATTGGAACTAGTTTTGGTTGAAGTTTTTCAAGATTGCATTCAATCTTTGATTTAGCAATTTCTATCAATGCATACAATGGTTGGCGAACGTACTGCGTATTTTTCGGAAATGAGTCCGATAGAATATCTGTTGACACAGAGTCTGCTTGGTAGACAAGTTGCCGAAAGATTCCATTAATTCCGTTGATAAGACCAAGCTCAGTAGCAATGTTTTGTGTTAAAATGAGAGGCATTTCAGGAACAAAAGGTAACAGACCAGGTAAATGCTCTGTCTTACTATCAGATAATTCTAACAGTTTCTTTATAAGTGTCGGATCTTCAATTGGTTTGCCTTTACAAGTGTCTTGAGCGACGCATACCATTGGTAAGTTGCCTGATTGTGTTGCATTATGAATTGCTGCCTTGTGGTTTAATTGGGTTCGTACTTCATTTCGAAAAACCAGAATAGGAGCCTAAACAAGACAAAGATGAGAAATCGTTACAAAAATAAAATGAAACTTACTTGATTCCATGGTGAATCATGTAGAGACGCTACTGATGGTTGTCCAGCCACTCGTGTCAGCAATAATTCATAATCATCGTAAGTACATTGTCCATGACGAAGCCGTTCGAGCAATTGAAGATTTCTTAAGTCTTCCGTTCGCATCTGCTGCGTAAGTTTTACGACACAATTAATTTGAAGTATTAAAGAACGTGCGACACGTTGTTGAATTTCTTTTTCAGTGGGTAGTTTACTCGATTTCTTTTTGGTGGGTAATGAAAAATCGGTGTGTACCGGTGCATCATATACCGGAAGATATTGTAAGTAATCGCCGAAAAAAAAACGTTCGCCCCACCAAAAGGAATTTGAGGATCAATATGTTTTGCAGCAGAAATTATTCGGTTCAGTTTTGCAAGAAGAGTTAAACAAACCATACTCATCTCATCAATGAAGAGATATTCTATGAGTCTCCATTCTTTTTCGAGTCTTGAATCACCTGGTTTGATGGTGCGTGGCTTTCCAGAATTACGTTGTTCACCTAAAAATGAATGGATCGTCATTCCGTCTATTTCAGCGGCAGTGATTCCTGTGGGCGCAAGCTTCCGCATCATCTGCATTCTTTTTGTAACAAAAAAGTATTTAGTGAGAGCACGAATCAGTTGTGATTTGCCTGTACCGCCGCATCCCGGTATACACATTATGAGCTGACCATTATTGTCACCTAAAAATATTATATATTTTGAAAGATGGTGATTTGTTTTATAAAGATACCTGTACGACAACGACTGTCACGATCAAGATGACTTGTTATTATCATGAATGCAGCTCGTTGTTCTCTGTTGAGTGTAAATTGTTCGACAATACTTTTCTGAGTAGGAAAGTTTGCTGTGACTGAGAATACTGGGAAAACCGAGCCATAGTTTTCAAATTTGCTCGTAATATAATTGTTTGGATTTATTACAGTTATAACAGCATCTTTTGCGGCATTCAAGTCTAACGTACCCTCCCAATCTTTTTCATGACTGCCGTTCATCAAATTTCTTCTAATTCGTTCTTTCTCATTCTTTAGCTGTTCTTGCCATTTCGTATTTATTCGAACAAGATCAGGTGTTGCAAAAACGAAAGGTACAAGTTGTTTATCAGTAGATTCATTTAAAGAAGATTGTTGATACGCTAAAAAAAATTTTATTCCCTCGACTGAAAGGAGGGTCATATGAAAGAAAATAGTTTGTCTGTCTGTGTCAGGGTCAAAAAAACATCAAAGATTAAGGGTGTGGATGTGGGTGTGTGGATGTGGG